GATAAGTCTATCCGTTTATGGGATGTTAAGACAGGATAATAAAAAGCCAAATTAGATGGTCATTCATCATATGTTATGTCAATTTGTTACTCTCCTGATGGTACTACATTAGCATCTGGCAGTGCAGATAACTCTATTCGTTTATGGGATGTTAAGACAGGATAATAAAAAGTCCAATTAGATGGTCATTAATCATATGTTAATTCAATTTGTTACTCTCCTGATGGGACTACATTAGCATCTGGCAGTGCAGATAACTCTATCCGTTTATGGGATGTTAAGAAAGGATAATAAAAAGCCAAATTAGATGGTCATTCTGTAACAGTTTCTTCAATTTGTTACTCTCCTGATGGAACTACATTAGCATCTGGTAGTTCAGATAAGTCTATCCGTTTATGGGATGTTAAGACAGGATAATAAAAATCCAAATTAGATGGGCATTCTAATACAGTTATTTCAATTTGTTACTCTCCTGATGGTACTACATTAGCATCTGGTAGTTTGGATAAGTCTATCCGTTTATGGGATGTTAAGACAGGATAATAAAAAGCCAATTTAGATGGTCATTCTAATACAGTTAATTCAGTCAATTTCTCCCCTGATGGAAATACACTAGCTTCTAGTAGTGATGATAACTCTATCCGACTTTGGAATGTAAAAACATCAAAGGAAATACTCTAATCAGATGGTAGCTATGAAGATTTGCTTGACTAGTTTACCATACCACTTCAAAATAGCTCCTTATTGCCAAATGGTATTTATTATTAATTATTATTTAGTTAATCCTGATCGTACAATACTTAGAATATGGTAGAATCCTTGGTTAGAAGCATCAGGAACACTTATCTTATAAGGACAATTCATGAATTATTAAGGGATAGATTTAAAACCATTGTTCAAATCCAAAGGAAGTTGCTTTTTAGAAGACTTAAAGCAAAAGAAGTGAATTTGAATATTCATTAAAAACATTGCAATTATAATTTTAATCATTTTCTTATAACTTTTTTGCATAACATGTATTTTTTGTTACTCTTTAAATATTTTGGATAATATTGAGATGTTAGAAACAACGTTTATAAATTAATATTTATAGACGTATATATTATTAAATTTATAATATAAACAGAGTAAACAGGTTTAGTCCAAATAATGATTACTAATAGTTTAGTATATTTTAGATTTTCAGTTTTAATAAAGATAATGATACATTTAAGAACAAAGATAAGAAAAAAGATAAATTTCAAAAATTACAAAAATATTGATAACAAAGTTAAAACATTGGGATTGAATGATTTTTAAAATTACTATTTTCTTAACATATTGTTTATTATTTTCAATTGATATTAATAGTATTAGATAGAATAAAGTATTGAAAAGATATATTAATCATCAATAAGTATTCTAACCCTAAAAGGATTTAGATCATTATTTATCCATTCCTAACAAACATCTAATCATCTTAAATAAGCATTATGTGAATTACATCGAAAAGCTACTTTCCACTATAATTTTGCATATATATAATGAACAGTTATTAACCACTCAGGTAGGAACTATAAAATTACAAAATTACCCAAGATTGGATTTCATAAACATAATTGAGAATATTAAAAAATAACAAAATT